AAGAGGTCCTGATGCAGGACATCTGCAGAGCAACCACCTGGAGCTCCGTAAGCATGTTTGCTAGGTATTATGCACTAGTCTAAGTGCTACAGATGCAGCAGTTGGATTTGCAGTACTGCATGTATCTTCGTTGCTGGCTTCCTCACCCCCTCCTCCGGTCTGATAACTGTTAGTCAATCCCCACGTGTAGAATACACATAGGGGCCAGCACTCGAAGAAGTAGTGGAGGTTACTTATTGTAACTGGAGGTTCTTCGAGACGTGTGGACCCGGTCTGTATTCTGCTACCTGCCCTCCATCCCCTGTGCTGCGGATCTGATTAGATTCGTGGTTAGAAGAGGAACTGACAGGGTGTCGACCCGCACTGCTGCTTATACCCTCGCTCAGGAGCACGAGGAGATTTACTGCGCACATGCGGGCCAACGGACACTGCTTGCTAAAATCTCCAGACTCGGGTGCATGATGTATATGCGTACCCACATGTGCGGCCTCTCTGTCTTCTACATCTCAAAGAGCCTCCAGTCACAGTAAGTCACCTTCACTTAAAATGTGTGTTTAGCTGTTTTTGTCAAATTTCTACTGCTCTGGGATCACCAGGGGCCTTGCCTGAGACATTGTACCCATCGAGAGCACAGGGTTTAAGAGGTGTTCCTCTTGCCCTGCTGTGCTCCCTGTTTTGGTTGAGTATGATGAGTGCCCCTAATGCTTTAAGGAAGGGGTCTGAGCCAAGATGTGACATCCCATGCCACTTGTAAAAGTGCCCAGTGAGGAAATGGCAAAATGGCTTCTTATGGCTCAGAATCCATATTTTCTAGTGGAACCTCGGAAAGCACCTGTTCTGGTTCCAGTGACTCCAGTAGATGGCATTGGGGAGATAAGAGGCTCCAAGAGAGAGTCAGATGTATCCTGGAGCAGCTGGCATCCCCAGATCCTAGGGCTGTTAAGGAGGACAAGGCCTTCTCTGATTTGGCATGGTCAGGTCAGTCCTATTCACGGGGGTGCCCCTTGGAACTGTTTGGCAGACCCCCATAACCTCTCTGAAGGATCTGCTGGAGGAGATGTCACATTACTCAGACCTGTCTAGCATTTCCAGTATTCTCCCCAGAGCTGTCATCTCTTCAGTACTGAGGACAAGTCCCCAGCTCTGGGGAGACCTGTTTTGGGGGCCGATTGATGCTATACTTGGATCCAGGGATCGCTTTTCCTGCTGGATCTGAGGTGGTGCTGTCGTTTTCTCAGTTCCAAGATGGTGGGTGCCATGTCATTTTTCTGCAGTGCCACCTTGGTGAGATTTTTTGGCCAGACAGCTTCAGAGTTCAAGCCCCATTCAGGTTTTACTCCACATGGGTACTGAGTACTTTGGTGTTCGTCCCTTTGGGCCTCTGCTTCCTGGGTCAGCAGCTCTTCTGAGGTGCCGGTGTGGGGTCCTGCTCCCTGGGCACTCTTCTCCAACAAAAAAGCAAAGGCTCCTTGGGAGTCCTTTGTCTGCCTCCACTGAACCTCAGGATCAGCAGTTAGTTACTCCCGAGGGGATTCTGCACCAAAACATTAAAAATTGAGGCAGGAGGTCTGGGTGCAGGAGGCTCCAGATGCAGGGGTCGAGGTTCAGTGGGGTGGGGTTCTGGTCTAGAGGACTGAGGTGGTTCTGGGTGTACGGGGTGAGGCTCGGTAGGGGTGTCTGAGTATGGGAGGTCTAGATGCATGGGGGTTGGGCAGATGGGGGAGCAGCTCCCTGTACAGTGACCCCTCTCCCCACAGCTGAGGAGTGATGGGGGAAGGAAGAAGGGGAGGATGCTGAGCTTCCTGGAGCTTGGGGAGGTTTCTGTGGGTCATTCTGACACCATCCCAGGCACTCCTTCCAGGGGAAGAGGAAGTCTTGTCCTCTCCTGCCTCCAGCCTAGCCGAGACTAGCAGCTGATCCCAGCTCAGGCTAGGAGCCACTGGCTGGGGTGTCCCCAGCCCTGTGGTCATTTACCTCTCTGCCGGCTGCTCTGGGTGCCTGAAACAATATACCTGTGCAGCTAGGGAGTGGTGCGACTTGCAGCTTCCCTGTCAGAAAGTCATTTTTCTGCGGGGAAGCAAAGAAATCTGTGGGGGACATGAATTCTGCACATGCGCAGTGGCGCAGAATTCCCCCAGGAGTAGCAGTTCCACATGGTGTGGACTCAGACGCTTTTCTGACAGAAAAACAGCAGATATAACTTGTGCCATGCCTGCCTTGTGCAGGCTTTCCTAGCGCCTTCCCCAGAAACAGCTGGAGATAGAAGACTCAGTTAGATGGACAACTGGTGCGATCCAGTGTGGCAATTCCTATGTTCCTGTGCTGAAGGTCTCATTTTATTGGCCAGGAGTGTCTTCAGAGCTGTAAGTCCTGATGGCCAACACTTTATGCGGTGTGTTGCGTAAAGACAGTGATACCTAGACCTCCCCCCCCCCCAAACTTCTGACTAAAACTGTATCAGATTTTCGTTGTGATCAGCCTGTCTCATGGCCTGTGCTTTTCCCATAGCTACATATCCACCCTTCATAAGGGAGGTAACACGTCTTGCATCTCGAGCACTACTGACCTCTCCTTTGACAGGGCTTGTCATTTAGAAAGTTGTATGGTCTCCTTGTCACCTGTGGAGAAAAACTTACAGCTCAAGCCACTTCATCTCAAATGCATCCAGTTGTGTTATAAGCTGGCAGCTGCTCCTACGCAGGAATGACTCTCTGCTCTGTCAAGGAGGACGATGGCAACCCCTGTAGTGCTCCACATCAAAATGAACAAAGTGCTAATTGTCCACTGATTTCCTTCCTCTCGCTAGAGGCACGGAGTGCATACTTATGTCTATTTCCATCTCCAGTCTGACTGCTAAACCCCTACATACATCTTTACTTCTGCACTTTACTGAGGGCGGCCAGTAGTTCAGACACTCTGAGGTGGGGCTCCTATCCTTCTTAGGCACTAAGGATATCATAGCTTAATTAAGCTAAGGCATATCTACATAAGCAATTAGACCATGGGGGTGTGAGTCTGCCCCGCACTTACCTGCTGCAGTCTAACTACTGTCCACATGGCCACTGGTGACTCATATTAACAATTTGTACTTTCAGCTGGTCCCATTTCAGAGAGGACTAGCTCAAAGCGCTCTTATAAACTGTTAATGAACATCAGCTGGTGCACGTGGACAGTTACGCTGCAGCAGGGTAGATTCCCATCCCAGCTTGCCAGGTCCTCGTGTAGACAAACTCTTAGATATAACAATGCTCTTTTTCTTCACTTCCAAGAAAAACAACTTCAGTTGGAGTGAATGGGTCACATACGTGTATAAAGTTTGGCCATCAAACCAGCTGTGGCATTGGGAAAACTCAGATCCAGACCAAACGCTGCAGTTTGGGCCCACCTCAGATAAAAACCAATAAGGCTTCCAAATCCCAAATGCAGCGGGATCATTTTGGAAAGAGGATTGTACTCTTGGAATCAATGGTGGTTAAAACAAAGCACATGTCTGATAGAGAAGGATCTTTAATAATATCCAAGAAGGGGATAGGGATGTTTCTGGGGGCAGAGTTTTCCAAGATAGTAGCAAAGTTTCTTATCACCTGCTAGTGACAGTAAGTGGTAATGGCGGGACCTCTCTAAAACGAGGTGATGTCAGAACACATTTAACTGCTAAGGGTACGTCTATACTTACCTGCTGGTTCGGCAGCAAGCAATTGATCTTCTGGGATCGATTCATTGCGTCTTGTCTAGACGTGATAAATCGATCCCGGAAGTGCTCGCCGTCAACGCCGGTAATCCTGCTCTGTGAGAGGAGTAGGCGGAGTCAACAGGGGAGCCTGCCTCCTGCATGTGGACCCGCGGTAAGTACCTTCAAGTTCGAACTAAGATACTTCAACTTCAGCTACGTTATTCACGTAGCTGAAGTTGCGTATCTTAGTTCGAACTGGGGGCTTAGTGTGGACCAGCCCTAAGACAAAGCTCAAGGATAAGTTAAAGTACAGGCAGGTTGTTTCCCACTTAAGGCTTGACAAGCAGGCAGGACTGCCTTAAAACCAGTTGACTGCTTTATGGGCAGCCAGTATAAAGAATTCAGCTGGGGGTAAAATGATCATAATGGCCCAATCCCAGGGAGCAGGTGACCAGGGGACTTCTGCACCAGTCCTGCTGGAAATGCTGGGAGGAGGGAATTGCTGGTTGAGCCCCGGGCAGATGAGGGTACAAGCAGTGCTGCAGAGAACATTTCCTTCGCCCCTGTGACGTGTGGCGCTGACTGTGTGCCACCGCAGGATGGTGGAGATAGAAAGGAAGAGAGACGCTTCATCATGAGGCTTTCTTCCTGCACCTTCCGGCACCAACAAGAACGATGTTTTCCTGATGATGAAGTGGCCCCAATGCACTGAGCCAGCAGTAGCATCCTAGTCCTTCACCTCTGCTCTGCAGAGACTGAGCAGCTGAGTCTGGGAGGCAAAAGATGCATGTGCTGCTGTGATGAAAATGCCTAGCAGAGCCCCTGTAGAAATCCACACCACGTCCATACCAGCACATCACTAACAAACGAAGACCTAGAACTTAACTCTCTCTGCCCTCCTCTCTTGGAGGCTGCAAGATAGTATATTTGTTACCATCATTTAAATCTAGGAGAACACAAATGCCATGTCTAGGAATTGTATTATTTCTTTCTCAGGACGACAAAATCCAGAGCATCTAATGTGAAGAGGAGGACAGGCCATACAAAATCATTCTCCTCTTATTGTCATGACAACCAGAAATTCTTCTATTTTTGAAGTGTTAGATGGAGCTGTGCAAAATTACTCCAGAATTGAACCTGCTGAACTGCAAAGAACCCCCAAATGCTATAGAAATCCTAATTGCTGAAATGTCATGGCATTATAGGTACACATCACGCACCAGAACCGTAGCTCATTGCAGATGTGTTGTACGCAACCCTGCTGAGACCAGTGCAGCTGGAATAATGCTAATTTAACATACCTGACTGCTTGTTTTCTTCTCAACAGACCATGAGAAGCACAGACTATGTAAAAGTGCAGACTATATGAATTTGCACTTCAAAGTGAAATGGCTGTACAACGAGTATGTTCGCGATCTGCCTGCCTTCAAGGGGAAAGTGCCCGACTATCCAGCGTAAGTCAGTTGTATTCTCTTTCATAAATTCCATGTCTTGCCCCATCTCACGCCTTCCTCAGGGTGATCCCTCTGCTTTCCCTTAGTCGTCCTCATTACTTTCCATCCTTTACTGCCTCTACACTTCTTTCTGACCATACTGAAAGCATACGAGCCTTCTCTCAGCTATCCTTGCTAGTGGTCTCTCTCCTCCTTACATACATGATTTTTTTCATCTCCTTGTATAGTATGTCTTAACTCAGTCTCAAGAGCCAAAATATTTAGCAGAGGGTTGGACCTTGGGACCTAGGTTTGATTTGGGGGCATTTCTGTGGCGTGTTTACAATATGTGGTTTGGTTACATTGGGGTGGGCTTTGTAATTTTGACTCTATCTTATCAAGCCTTGGCTTCCAAGTACTGGCCGAGTGGCCACCCACAATTCCTGCCAGAAGCTGGAGCTCCTACTAGGGGCTGCCGTTTTTTTTATAGGCCCCTTCCTTAGTAAAGCAGTGCAGCTGTCTTTAGATTAGCCTCAATAATGACCCCGTCCCTGAGCAAGGAGCTCGCTTAGGTCCTCGCCTCCCCGGAGCTCTTCTGTCCTCCTTTCTGTACCGATGCCGTTTCTCTGTAGTAGAGGTGGCAAAGGGTCTGACTTGAGTAATTTGTTTCCTGGGGTTGATTTACTGGGTGAGCAAGCCCATCCAGCTGATATAAATCTGTCCCGCAAAGGGCAGAGCTGGTTCAGAGCAGGCTCACCTTGGGAGAATCCCATGAGTTTCAGCATGAAATACTGCATTAAACAAGGGGCAAAGCAGATAGCCTGGATCACATGGTCTGTATCCAGGGAGGATCACAGTTATACAGTGCGTCTGTTCTGCCCTTTAATAGCTGTAGTTGCTGGTGACTACAGGTCCCAGATTGCAATAATCAACCTTGTCCCGAGCAGCCTGGCCTGTTGCTGGGGCTTGTAGCCTCTGTGCGCAACACTAAGGAATTAAAAATGAGGGCATGTGCCATCTAAGCTATAGGCATGGCCCTTGGGCTCCTAGCAAGCTGTCAGCGCAGCCCTCAGGTGAACACAATTTGAGCATGCCTGATCTACAGGGCATCCCTCAGACCTGATCTAGTAACCAGTCTGAACGGTGGGCCTTGGGAACAGATCAGCAGAGCAATGAGAGGCTGCCTGGTCCTGTGAACAGGAGACCGGCCTGGTTTCCTTTCTTGGCTCTGCCTCTGAGTCGGCGAGCTTTGGGTAGGTCACTTGATTTCTCGGGACTGTATCTTAGTTTACAGATCAGTAAAATAAGGATAATGATGCTTAGCTATTTTCCTAAGGAGCTCTGCAATCTATGGGCGAAAAATGTGACCCGAGCGTCACTAAGCAGTAGTATTCAATGATCTAACCTGCTGGCTCTGTCTATGCGGTATCTCTCTATAGAGCTCCTAATATCGTGTTGTACTGTGCAGTGTCCAGCATCCTCTGCTGCTGATCAGTGCTAATATTTAACACTAAGCATGTAACCAAATACATCTAAAGACTATTTCAACCATCTCCCTTAGCTGTCTGCGCTCCCACACCCACCACTTCAGAAATACCACTGGGGCTAATCATAGCAATGAGTTCGTTTCTTCAGACAGTGGCATGATCGCTATTTTATAAAGTGCAACTTCATTAAATTCAGAAGATACTTAACGTTTTCTGCTTCAGATTCAAACCTAGTAAACTCTTTGAGACCAATCAAAACGCCACCGTCCAGAGAGCCGACTCTTACGCCTAAGAATGGACAGGAGACAGAGCTCAGACCCGTTTGCCTTACCCTGTACCTGGCAGTGGGGGAGAGAATGCTTCCGATTGACCCATTCCTGATGGCCTTGAGGTTAGGTTGAAAATAAAGTCAAGGTTTCCAAGTGCTGACTGTTAAATCTGTCACTCCCCTTGCTTTCAACAAGCCAGCATCAGTTCCTAAACAGGGTAGAAACACAGCCAGCAGTCGAACATTAGAGCTTCCTCTTGTCCGTTTCAGAAGTCAGCAGAAAGATGGAAGATGCTAATTCCCAAAAGCATGAACTTCTTATTCTTTGTCCTTTCAAAATGCTTAATATAGCATGTTTTTTTTCTAAATTATACACTTTAGCAAACATCAAGTACTGTGATTGTACCAGAGACTAACTTGTCTCTGGACGTAGAAGGCATTTCTGCCCTTGATAGCGTGACTTACAGTGCACCTGTTTGGCCCAATCTTGAAAACCCAGTCTCTGTTTTCGCCCCTGTAACTTGCATGCTCAGTTGAAAACACTGTTTAGATGTCTTAGTACCTGACTTATGGAGGCAGCCAGGTACCTAGGCACGTAAGCCTTCATTTTATCTGCAACGTTCTGGCCAGAGAAGCAGAGGCCAGGCTGAAAGTGCAGCCCTTTGCCTTGCATTAGATCTGTAACACACGACAATAGGAAATTTCCATTCAGCCAGAAGACACTGCTCCCATTCATGGCGTAGGAGAGCACACTACACTGAAGAAAGCAACAGAGAGTCCTGTGGCACCTTTAAGACTAACAGATGTATTGGAGCATAAACTTTCATGGGTGAATGCCCACTTCGTCGGATGCATCTCTCTGTTGCTTTTTACAGATCCAGACTAACACGGCTACCCCTCTGATACACTAAAAGAACCTCCCTCCCCAAATTATCTTCCCTTTTTGCCAGGCAGTCTGGCTAGACCGCATAACACCTAAATGACCATGAATTTGTAAGCCATTATGCTGGAAGTATTATGCATCCCATCTATGGTTAATGGCTTTGTGTTCTCACCACTGCATGTGGTACACTTTCTGTAGTGCCCCTACCTCCTCCTGTGAGTGTGCAGTGAATGTCAAAGGGGCAATAAGCAATGGCTGGTAAGGGATAACCAGTAGGCAGTTCTGCCTCGTTCTGGGCCATAAGTAGCAATTAGTAAGTAGCAAACAGCCTGTGTCATTCATTGAGCTGTGACTTTCTGGGGCAGTAAGCAGTCCAATACAGCATGCAGCTTGTCCCTCAGGAGCTCTGCAGGGGATGGGAGCCTTGGTAGCTGCTCTCTTATAAACAACCTCGGTTTCCTTAGTACCTGAGTCTCTTGTAAATAAAAAAAGAGTCGTGGCTTAAAAAGCACTCTCATTACTTAAAAAACCAACACATCGCTCAAACCCTGCACCCCATGCACAAAACATGCCTCTCAAAGCCTCCGAACTGCCAGGTCAAAAGCAATTTCACTGGAACATGGAAAGACCTGGTCTCTCGGAGGGAAATTTTCCCATCATTGCTAACATAGATCAGCGTGGCTGACAGCTGTGATGGGTAGTGCTGGTGCAGGCAGGCTGCTGCTGGCATTTAACACTGTGTCAGTTACAATTTCCAATATTAACATGGGTGTGCTGTATATGCCAAGGTGTTAGGAGTATTTAAGGCTACCCAGGATGCTCTGAGTTTGTGCGCTCTCTCTGTCTGTCTCGCTCTCGTGTCTCTCACGTTATTTCACATTCTTTGCTAATTCAAGCAGCCCATAATTAGCACCATTTGAATGAGCTCCATGGCCTGTTCAGAGAAGATTGTACTCTATTGTGAAGCTCATATCATACACCTTTGATGGATTGAATTCACACATGGGCCCCTTTTCCCTTGTTTGTGAATGCTGTTTGGTAATATATGAAAGTGAGATTTGCTGCAGCTGCAGTACTTAAATACTTACATATAGAAGAGCTGTGTAATGAACTCTAGAGAGACGTTTAACTCAGATGAAACCTTAAATGCTATGCTGCTGCTTAAACACCGCCGCAAACCTCCCCTCTGTATTGTCCTGATGCTTTCAAACAGCTAGAGACCGGGGTCTGGCTAGCTCAAGGGATTGCTGACGGGATACAGATCCTTTCTCCTCCTGTTCTCTGGTTCCGATCCAGCACATCAGTACTGGCAGCTGTCTGGTGCACTGAGTTAAGAGTCTAGTCCAGTTCCAAGGGGATAAATGTCCACATTGTAAAGCTACCTCCTTGGCACACAAGGGCACCCGTTGTTAACAGGCTGTTTCCAGAGCCCTTTCCATCCTGCTATGCTAGCCTCTCCCCTCTCCAGGACGGGAGGTGGGGAAGCTTGTTCTCCTTTGCCCGTGTTTGGCCTGTTCTTGGGATTCATAGAGCTCCACTCTAGGGTGGGTCAATCTGGACCCTTTCATATGCACTAAAGTCACTTGCACTCTCACAAGAGAGAAGTCACCATGGCACTGCTGATCCTGCACGGGCCGGCATCTCCTATGGGGATAGTATAGTGCCACCAACCAGTCGTTGAGCTCTGGTTACTCAAGCGTTCTCCCAGACTGTTAATGACTTAGCATGCCAAAGAGTCTAACAGACTGGATCCAACTTGGAGAGCAGTTGTGCCTTCAGGGGAGAGGATGCCAGGCTACCCTAGGGAGGGTATGGGGCAGCGGAGACCAGCATTGGGGTGGAGAAAACTGCCTCATCTGGGATCTCCCTCCCCCAACTTCCAAAATATGTTCCTGCACCTGGAGACAAAATGGCAGGAGGCCCAGGGAAGCCACTTCCTTCTCTCTTTCCTTATGCAAATGCCCCTAATGGGATCCCACAGCGAGAGCTGCAAGCTCACACAGCAAACTTCTCTTCCCATACCTGAATCCCTTAGCTCATCCCTGGGAGGATGTGTGGTTAAATTCCTTAGAGCCACTGGTAAAAGTCTCACTAGCCCAGTGAGCACACGGCTCTTGGGGGGACGGAGAGAGAGGGCTAGTTACACACACAGGAAAAGAGAAAAAGGAGTAAAAACATTGAAAGCAAAACCAGAACCAAGCTACTGAAGAGGGAGAGAGCACGAGCAGAGGTGGAACAGTGCAGGGGGAGAATGAACCAAGTGGGTGAAATGGTAGCAACTGTGCTGAAGCGTGTGGTTATGAGGGGCCCTGTCTGACAGTCCAGTGCGCGGGGGCCAGGCGAGATTGTGGCCTGTTCCTGCCCAGGCAGCAGTGTGGGCACACGTGTAAGTACACCTGGGTGCGCGGGTGCTGCTGCCCTTCAGATCCTCCCTGGGGAAAGCCAGCTGGGCACCCAGGCAGATAATAATCAGCTTTCAGCCTGGCTCGCTGGAGGGTCAGCTGCTGTCTGGCAATACATGGAACCAATAAAGCTGGGGAGAGGGAAGCCAGGATTTTTGCTGTCTTGAAGGCATTTGAATCACTGAAAGCCTCATCAGTGCTGAGAGGTGGGAATGCCACAAGATTAGTAGCTGTGAGTAGGCCCCCGGCGGCGGCGGCTGTGTTTCACACTGTAACTTGCTCTCCTTCCTCTCCCCGCGGCAGATGGTTTGAGCAATTTGTGATGCAGTGGCTGGATGAGAATGAAGATGTTTCCCTGGAATTCCTGCATGGAGCCCTGGAGAGAGATAAGAAAGATGGGGTATGTAGCTGGATTACTGTGCCCAGGAACCAAATATTACCACAGCAAATTCAGAAGCCTGAATGCGGACACAGCCATTTTAGCTCACTGAACAAATGGGAATCTCTTTTATCTTGAAACTTTGTCCCCAGGTCTTCATGAACCATTTTAACCTAATAGGGAGAGCAGAGCAATTCATTTACATACACTGCTGCTGCTAATCTGTGTCAGCAAGAGGCAGGGTCGCCTGGGGGGGGGGCGGGGGCAGTTGGTCTTCAGCAGCCCCGGCCCAGCAGTGGTCTGGGTCTTCGGCAGCCCCGCAGGGGTCCCGTGTGCCCTGGCCTGGCAGCGATCCGGGTCTTCGGCGGCCCAGCGGTGGTTCGGGTCTTCGGCAGCCCTGCAGGGGCCCCGCAAGCCCTGGCCCGGCGGTGGTCTGGGTCTTTAGTGGCATTTTGGCGGCGGGGGGCCCTTCAGTGCTGCCAAAGACGCGGAGCGACTGAAGGGCCCCCCGCCGCCAAAATGCCGCCGAAGACCCAGACCGCCGCCGGGTGAGTACAAGCGCCGCAGCTCCCCCGCTTTGCCCCAGGCCCCCTGAATCCTCTGGGCGGCCCTGGCAAGAGGCTTGGCATTCTCCCACATCCCCATGCCTGTGAGATAAGTCATTGAAATACATAAAACTAGGTACGTGTCTAACCGTGACAGTAAAAGTGACCTTAATCCAGCTATTCTTTAACCTCACCGAGTGCTCCCAGAAGGCTCTGCTGTGATGTACATAGCCTGTTTGAATTTGGATGAGAGCCCTCATTTATATTTCTCCATTTGAAAAAAAATCTGTATTTTCTTTTCCATGTTGCTCATTAAACGAACAGGCAAATGATGCATTTCATGAAAGGTCTCCGCAGTGTATTTGCCATTCCCGGGTGTTGAGCCGTATCCCTTCCTGGTCTAGACTGCAATTGTCAAAGGGAGCGAGGTCCTTAGAGCCCACTGAAAATTAGGTGCCAAACTTCTTTGGGCCCCTTTGAAAACTCCTTCCTTAATTCTGGGGTGAATGTGTTCTGCTTTGCAGCTGCCCAGTGCCCACACAGTAGAGAAAGGACAGACACCTGGGAAATACCAGCTGCCTCTCCCAAATCAGTTCAAGACATTCAGAAATTACCGTATGTGTTTTTTGTTTAGTTCCAGCAAACATCTGAGCATGCTCTATTCTCCTGCTCGGTGGTGGATGTCTTCACACAGCTCAATCAGAGCTTTGAGATCATTAAGAAGCTGGAGTGTCCAGACCCTGAGATTGTTGCTCACTATATGAGGAGGTTTGCTAAGGTAACAGCACTAGTTCATCGGCCTTCAATTGTATGGAGAACTTTAAAGTATTTTTAGGGCTTCTTATTGTTGGTTTTAACCGATAAACACTGATAAAACACCCCCTGTACAAAAAATAAAATAAAATAAAAATTTAGAAAACATTGGCATTTCTCCAGTAAACACCAGAAATAGTTACATGTATCTAAGGGCCTGTCTCTGTGGAGCAATAACATACACCACAGGGGTGTGATTTCCAAAGCACGCTAATGTGTTGCACATTAATTGGTTCATGTAGATCCTGCTACAGTGCACTAAATGGTCCCTAGTCCGCTTTAACATAGTGCTGTTTGAAACAGTACTACGTTAAAGTGCAGTGAGGAACATTACGAAGAGATTATTCATTACAGTATACACAGAGAGAGAGCCCTTAAAAAGCCTGATTTTCAGACATCTGCATAAAAATCAAAAATTGCTTAAAGAAATCGCCACCCAAAAATGAAATTAATGAACCCTGAAGAACAGAAGCTAAGCGTTTTGGCGAATCCTGTCTACTCGAAGTTATTGGTTTGGTTTTATTTTCGTGTTCTCCTGCAAACATCCTGCCTTTCTCAGTGGAAGAGGAGAGCATAACATTGTTCACTGTTGTCTTTGCAGACAATTGGGAAAGTGCTGATGCAGTACGCTGACATTCTCTCCAAGTGTTTCCAGTCCTACTGCTCCAAGGAGAAACTAGTGAGTAACATTTGATTTCTCCCCCCGCCCCCCTTTAGAAACCCAGGCGTCATTGAACCGTTCTGCAATAGCTTTAAAATAGCAGGTAAAGAGTCCTCGTACTGCAGCTGGGAAGCCATAAACCTCGTCATTTTGCTCATGTCATCAAGCCCCAAGCTTGGCGTTAACTTTGATTTGCTCACCTATAAAATAAAATTGGGCACTTGGTGTGTGTCAGTCCCACCACACCCATGTCAGAGGGTTTTGCTCTCCATTAAGGAGGTGGAAATAAATGTTCCAGATGCATGCACCTTGCAGACTCTGCTGTGATCCCCTCCCTCCCTTCCCAGGCGGCAGCCGCACATGGAATTGTAGCGAGCAGAGATGGACCATGGTGTGCTTGGCCACGTGACAAGGTGATGGCCAAGGTAGACTCCGTCTGACGTGCTGGGGCTTGGACTCTTCTCCCCATCTTTTCATTCTGAACCTGGGGAACTGCTTATGACAGCTGCTGTCACCTTTTTCCAGGGCCCTTTGGAGTGAGGCATCAACCCTATTGTCTAAATCTTGTTTTACGGCTATGAAAAGAAATGGGTGTGGGGCACTCTTTGTAGATCTTTGTACCATGTCTGTATCCCATTTGGTTTTCGCAAACACTTCCCAGTTTAGTATCCCCTACTTCTAACTAACTTGTTGTTCAGCCCCATTTCTAGGTCATTCATGGTGGTGGTAAATAAAACTCTGTGTCTGAAATCTGGATGCTTGTCGCATGCTGTTCTTGACGCTCTTCTTTAATGAAGCCAGGGGAATGCTCCAGCCTCCTCTTAGCAAATGGGTTTTCTCCCTTTGTGCTCATGTAATCTCGACTCTGTCCTTGACGTTGTCGGGACACGGCACCAGAGAAGTCAGACTCAGATCACAGAGGAGTGATCGTTAGGTGTCACTCAGGGCCATTAGTTGGTGTATTTTTTTCCTGTGCGGTTCAATAGGTAATGCAGCTGCGGCTGCCCCAAGAGAGTGGAAGAAAAAGATTAATGTTGTTCACTCAGTTTTCATGTTTACCAAGTCTTTCTCCCCTTTCTGCTGCAAGTGCTAATTGTTTATATGGTTTCATTGTTTCTACCCATAATTATTTTCTTCAAAAGAAATAATTTCCCACCATTTTCTTGAAGTAAAGACCACAGCATGCAAATGGATTCCACCTGTGGTGATCACAAATAGTTCAAATCTTCTGTAGTTTCTGAACAGTGCTCTGTGCTATACCCAACCTGATAGCCAGGGATACATATAGAATTGGCATCCATCCATGTTCGGGGAAACTTAACATTTCCTTCCCAAAGTTTTCTTTTGCTAATGGCACGCACAAACAGCAGCGAATTACCCCAAAGAGACTGGGAAGCCAAAATAGTCCACATCTGATCTGGGCTAGTGTGATGGAAACCTTAGCTTAATCTTGGGAAGAAAATGCCCATTGCACGCCCCATCATGTAGACATAACCATGAATGACAGCAGACGGGGCTGGGACACCGCCATCCCCCAGTTCTGCTCGAGAGGGATGGTCCAAACAAGACAAGCCATTCCACTGTTGTGACCTACAACGCAGTCAGTCTGCCAGATGCTCCTTTCTTCAAGACCCAAGCCAGTGACCTTCCTTACTTCATATAGGTCAGGCAGGAGTTTCCCTATATATATATGAACAATTGGGAAGCACCCTTAGAAAACCCCTTGATTGGTAGAAGTAGGGTTTGGCAAAATCGAATCCCCTATATAGAAAAGCTTCCACTCAACTGGAAGTCTGGCGCTCTTGTCAGGGGTGTTACTGGAGCAGAGGATCATCATTCATGGGTGTTTGATCCAGTGGGAGCTGTTCCCTTGTAGGCGGGTGGATTTGCTCATACATCAGGGGTACTTAAAACAGAAGATGCATCTCGTCCCCTTAGGATTAATGCCACTTCCGATCTCGGCCTCTACGCTACAAATCCTCCAAACTCCTACTGGATGCTGTTGTCAGTTCAGTGCCTCCATGGGCACTGAGTTCAGAGGAGAGATTCTGAATGAGGCAGCCGGAGACACATCAGTGCATCCCTTCTCCCTTCAGCCCTAGCGGAGTCCCACCCTAGAGACGTTTGGGGTCTGCTGTATAGAGTCCCTTAATTGCAAACAGGGGCAGCTTGAGCAGATAAATTCCCCCCCCCCCACTGATGTGTGAATTGCTGGGAGTGGCCACCTCGGTGTGCAGTACCTCCCCTTATGATCTGTATGCAGTTCAGATCTGCACAGGTCAGAGCTGAGAGGGTGATGTGAGAATGGACTCTTGCAGGAGGGCAGCTGCCAGTTGTCTACCGGATCAGCCAATTGTCTACTGGAGCAACCCCTTAACCACTGATTGGCATGTCTGTAAGCAGCTGCCCCCTTTCCCGGTTGGAGAGAGGGACTTTCCTCCTTAGCTTTGTTAGCTCTGAAATCTGCCCTTCCTCTTCATTTACATGCTGGGGGAAATTCTAGCCCTGGCTATGCCAGTGAAAGAACAAATAATACTGTTGTCACCCGAATCAGTAACAAGACTTTGCCATTGCCTCCTTCAGCCCTGCATCCTGATGAACAACATTCAGCAGCTGAGAGTGCAGCTCGAGAAGATGTTTGAGGCCATGGGTGCTAAGGAGGTATGAGCACTAAAACTGGCTACTTATGCACATAACTACTGGGTTACCTAGAGCCTCCAGTAAAGATTAGGGCCCCGTTGCTCTAGGTGCTGGGCTGTCGGAGTGAAAGGATAGCCCTTGCCCTGAACATCTTCCAGTCTAATTGAACACAACAGCAGGTTTTTCGAACAACAGACAGGAGCAGGGGAGGGAGGACAAGGGAAGAAGTAATAAGCCAGTAATAAGAACATGCATTAATGTGGGCTGGACTGGGGCACAACAAGATGTTTTCAAGTCTGTTGTTTAAATACGATAAGAATGTCAACAAACTCTCCACGTTATGGGCAGAAGTCATTTTGTGCAGTGTGTAAATGAAGGTCAGTAACTTGGTTGGGAGTAAATGACCTACATTTAATCTATTCTAACCACACCCAGGCTGTGTAATGCGCCCTGTCTGATTCCTTGGATCCCTAAGGAAGTGGTTGCCAAGGTAGATTTATTGCGGTGTTCCTGTGAATGTTTTGTTCAGAGGGTAGCAAGTTTCAAAGACATGAAAGAATTTTGTTTCAGTTGCTGTTTGTGAAGAGAGGATGCACAGCTATAATGTATATCTTTTTTTCTCTCTTTTCATTGCTTTTCAAGACTCAGGATGATGAAGAAAAGGACACTACTCATGTTAGGAAAAAATCTTTTTCAGAGCCTGGGGGCATTTTCTGTAGCTGTGATGTGCTAGATCCTGCGCTCTTGTCTGCACGCCAAGAGGCTAGTTCAGGGGTGCCAGTTCAGCTTTTTGACTCTGCACTGTTGTTTCCAAGTCTCTCTCATGCTCAGTGGCATAGTTCTAAGAAGTGACAAATGCTTGTTTTTAAGTTTAAAAACAAAACAAAAAAACCTGCTAAATCTTTCATTGCCTAATACAAGGATGACAGCAAAGAGGTTTTCTTCACAGTGGAGCTCAGTTCTCCTGAAACAAAATGTCCCAGCAACCTAGACTTGTTGCACAGGGTGCACCCAGCCTTGATATTACATCAATAATGGCCCCGAAGGCCCAGTTTCCAGAACAGTTGCTCCCATGATTAAACGTATGTAAATGATTTTATGAAGGCATCACTTGCATGTACGGGGGTCACCACTAGGAAATCAGCATTTGCCAAGTTACCCAACAGTGCTATCTGATAGCCACGGTATTTCCTTATACTTACAATGGGAACAGGGCCGGCTCTAGGCACCTGTGTTCCAAGCAGGTGCTTGGGGCGGCACTTTTCAAGGGGCAGCACTCGGGTTCTTTTTTTTTTTTTGTCTTGGGGCAGCAAAAAACCTGGAGCCAGCCCTGAATGTATCTCAAACGCCTGGTGATAAACTGTATTTAATGACAGTATAAACGCTTTCACTTAGCCTGGGTAAGATCCCTCTCTGGGAAGGGTGCATCTTTCTGCACAGAATCTCAACAATGCCTATCCCAGCACTTCCCCAGTGAGGTGAGAAGTCATGGGTGTGGGGGGTCAGTTTGGACCACAGGTTCACAGGAGAGACCTGTGGCCAGCACTGGGGGTGTGCAAACCTCTGTATTTTCACACTCCTTCCTAATGCTGTGTAATGACTCAGCACTTCATGAGCATACAAGATCACATCAATGAAATAACAAGAGCATGTCGAACTGTTTGGTGTAAGGTACAGTACAGTGTGTGTACTGGAGTGTTTAGGGTACGTATGTTCTGCTCGCCGTCTGTGGTACACTAACACTCCACCTCTGTCTAGACAGTTGGTGCTCAGGGCGCTTAGACTCTAGCTGGAACAGGAATGCAGATCTCAGCTGTGATATCACACAGCAATCATCCGGAACAAAAGTACATTTATACAAAAATTCATGCATCTGCCAGGACCTTCGTGAGCTCCCTCTGCTGCGAGCTTCTCCCTCCCAGCCCAGCTTGTCCCTTGCAGCCTCCTCCTGTAGTGACATGAAACTGCAGGCTCTTCAGCGGTCTCCGGCACTGTGGGATTATACCAGGAGGAGGAGATGTGCTGGGAGCTCTGGCTCAAACCCTGTGACTCTCAGCCTGGGAGCTAGCAAACCTGGGGAGAAAAAGAATGCAAATTACATGTTGAGCAACTGGAATATTGTTTGCTCAATATATTAGAAGGTTTTCTTGGGAGTGAAACTCCTTTCTACATGCTGTTTGTTCACCTCATCCACCTGCCACTGTTCACCAGAAATACTTGATTTCACTTGTGCCGAGTACCTGAAATAGCTGACCTCCCCAGGGTTTCCTCTTGGTGTGCATTTAGTACTCGGCTGCATAGATTAAAACCCTGCCAGAGCCTTGGTTCCGCTAGCCTAGACTGCCTTGTTCTCGTTTTAGTGGCTACTCTGATAGTGATTAGTCCTGGCCAGTGAAGGTCAGTCAGTGAGATGACGACTCTGAAAATAGAGCTAATTCTGTGTTCTGGAAATACCTCATCTTGTGCAAAGTTTTTGTCCTCTCCTTCAAAGCAGGACAATTACTTGGTGTTTACAAGAGATGCATACAGCATCCATACTTCATACAGGGGTTGGCATTAAAATATAGCAGTGAGGGCAGTGTTTACTTAGAAAGTAATAAGAGGAGGTATTTCTCTGTAAAAAATAAGAAAATGTCATGGTGAGGTCACATCAATGCTCTAAGTAAATGTTTATTTTTTTCTGTTACCCAACATATTAAGGCTAAATGAAAGCACCTCGACAGTTTTCCTGTAATTATACTAATAAATTAAGAGTTGCAGGTAGACAAATCATAGAAATTAGGAGTTGTAGGTGGTGAGAAAGATTAAATGAATTTAAGATAGCATGCACTTTGACTACTTCAGCTGCATTCTGTTCACCTAATCCATCTACGCCTGGAATACTTCTAATATTACAAAGCTCTGAACAGGTTTCGAGTAGTTGTTCCTTCTCTTCCCAAATGTGAAAGCCCATCCCTGCCTGCATTCCTTGTACTCTCCCTAAAACATTACCCCAGGATATCCGGTGTGGGATAAGGCAGCATTCAGCCCTAAACCCCTGGGCGTAATACCCAATATCTTGCGACCCATTGAGGCTAGACGGTGGAGCACAAAAGATCTGGAAAATCCTCCTCCCAGTGGGCTACTGCCCTTGTTTCCCACCTTGGAAGATCCCAAGAGATTCTCTCATTCAAACTAAAACTTTATAATTGATAGAAAAGCTCTTTTAGATCATTTTAGAGTTTTATAACACTTTATTTTTCTCCCTTTGAGCCTGTGCAGTGGATCTCATGCTGCTAAGACAACTTGACTTAGAGGGATACAAATATTATCAATACAGCTTCTAAAAACCTCTCTCAAATGTCAGGTGTTTGGGAAAAATAGTGTTTCTGCAATTATCTGTAGTGGTAAAAGCATTATACACAATGGTGGTGTGGTGTAAATGTTGTAGGCACAGATTCTATGGTGACGTCACTGACATAACTTTGGAGTAACTTGTATAATTCACTCATCTCTTCACAAATGCCTAATGATGTTTTTCTGAAAGCTCTGCTCTAGGAATTAGTTTGGGGCAGGTCTCTGGCCTGTGTTACACAGAAGGTCAGACTAGATGATCACAATGGTCCCTTCTGTCCTTGGAATCTGAATATCTTTGAATGTGGCAGTCATAAATTCATGCAAGTAAAGCATTCATGCCACCTGTGCTGTTTTCTCTTCACCCCTCATGTTGTTCTACAGACCCCTGCTTGGGAATGGTACAAACAGTCTGACAGTGGGCAGTGCAATACTTTCTATTTTCATTCGTCAGGAACGACTTTGCAGCCCACTCACTGCCGCCTTTTGCCTTTCACAAGTTATGCAATCATTAACTTCTGCAGGATAAAAAACCCATGTACTGTACTGCACTGCCCACTGTCACGAATTCTCGATATCCTGCAAAAGCCTAATTAAAAGGTGTAGAAACTTAGATTTTTTTGAAGTACAAGCCTCCACAGAGTTATAAACACCAGAATTACAAACTGACCAGTCAACAACACCTCATTGGAACCGGAATTACACAATTAGGCAGCAGCAGACACGCCCAAAAAAGCAAATACATTACAGTACTGTGTTAAATGTAAACTACTACAAAGCAAAAGGAAAGCAGCATTTTTCTTCTGCATAGTAAAATTTCAAAGCTGTATTAAGTCAATTTTCAGTTGTAAAATTTTGAAAGAACCACCATAATGTTTTGTTCAGAGTTACGAACATTTCTGAGTTATGAACAGCCTCCATTCCTGAGGTGTTCATAACACTGAGGTGCTACTGTATTGAGCCTTGAGAATAAAGTCTTTAGTAGACTTGTCTTCCTCCAGTTTTCATGCTATCAGCTAAGCTGTATGAAAAATGCTCCAGTAAAACAAACTCTCTTCTTAGTATCAGAGGGGTAGCCGTGTTAGTCTGAATCTGTAAAAAGCAACAGAGGGTCCTGTGGCACCTTTAAGACTAACAGAAGTATTGGGAGCATAAGCTTTTGTGGGTAAGAACCTCACTTCTCTTCTTAGTATTCAGCCAGATTTATCCCTCATTTTAAATGCTCAGTCCCCTGTATGACAAACCCCAGGATAGCTGAAAAGCAGCCTTGACTTTGTTATAAGAGCTGTGGGAAAGCATTCCTTGGGTCCAGGCTCCTGCTAAGAGCTTCTTATCCTGCTGAATTCTTCAGTCTTGTAAGACTGCTATCAAATCCACAGTAGAGTTAGAAATGCATACTGCTTGCTTTGCTCAGCCCTCCATCTTCTCCCTTTCCTGAAAGGTGGGGGGAAAAGTGGGTGATCCTTGGGACCATGTGACATAAGCCAATCATAGAATATCAGGGTTGGAAGGGACCTCAAGAGGTCATCTAGTCCAACCCCCAAAGAAGGTCTCAATCTGTTTTAGCTTATCAAAAGGAAGTGTGAGAGGTGTCTTGATTACAGTGTACAAGTACCTATGCAGGGAGAAAGTGCTGGTACCAAAGGGCTTTTTAATCTAACAGCAAAAGGCATGACAACCATCAGGAG